ACTATATCAGAAAATAGTTTCACAGCATAATTTGCAATTTCTTCTGTATCATATTTAACGAAAGCAAAACCTTTATGCTTATTAGTTTCTATGTCACGAGGAATATATAAGTCGATAACAAATCCTGCTTGAATTAAAATATCATATAATACGCGATTGCTTACTCCTTCATGCAAATTGCCAACGTAAACACTGAAATTAGTCATGATTGGGATTGAAAAACTAATTTGAGAATTAGAATAAAAGCTTAGCACAAATAAAGAAAAGTAATTTACACGAATAAAGAAAAGTAATTATATATAGGTCTTTGCTTATTGTACTATCAATTATTGAAAAAAGCATCTCTATTTATAATAGTGTAAAACTTGTCAAACTTAATTTGACTAGAGATTGGAAAAGTACAACTTATTTAAATATGGATTAATAAATAAATTAACAAATATCAAATCCTAAACAATTTTGGTTTCTATATTTTTATATGCTAATTTTGTATGTTTTTAATTTCATCACCGACTTCTAGATGGTTTAGTAATTTGTTGCTATAATTAATTATTCAGACTTTGCTTAAAGTAACTTTCGATATGTCTCATGAGTAATATTCTAGAATATTATGATTTTAATATTATTAATAAGTTTTTTCAATTTTCTACAAAAAATAATAAATGATAAAATGACCTATCAACATAGAGGAAAAAAAGACCAAAATCCTTCTCTTTTTTGCATTGCCCTAATGAAAACGGGAGAAGACAAAAAGTGATGTTTATATATATATATATATATATATATATATATATATATATATATATTGTCAATCGTTTAAAAAGTTTTAGATTTAACTCAAACTCAAGATTGTCTAAGTTCAGGTAAGAAAGTCCAGGACGCCTTTCATCATGATATAAGATTCTTTTCCATTCATCATCCTCTCTCGTCACACCCAGTCATCCAATTTCACGATGTGCATGCCCAGACACTGTTTGATCATTGCAGAGTGTGGAAAATCTATCTAGAACCACATCGGGAGCCGAGAAGCCCTAACTTTGATACCATATTAAACGAATATTGGATACTAGCTAGTTATATAATAAGTTATTTGTTTTATTTTTTTAAGAAATACAAATGGTTATTTCAGGGTATGGACAATTTATCTAAAAGCCACCTTGAAAGGCCTTAACTTTGATACCATATTAAACGAACCTTGAATACAAGATAAGTTATTTTTTTTTATGAAATAAAAATTGTTGTTGTAGGGCATGGACAATTTATTTGGAACCCACATTTGGAAATTGGAGGCCCTAACTTTAATACCATATTAAACGAATCATGGATACTAGTTAATTATAACAAGTTTTTTTTTTTTAAGAAATAAAAAATACACTGATGTTATTTTGTTACATCAATTTAATCTAATTTTTTTTTTAAAAAAAAATGAAGTGATAATTGAGACCCTTTTAAAAAGCCAGGTATTATCCGACAAATTCCATTCTTATAGTGATAAATTTAATTTAAAGTAATACAGATTATGCTTTTGGCGCAATTAAACTTTTATTTTAAAGTTCAGAAAAAGAGAAAAAAAAAATAACAAGAAAAAAAAAAGGGAAAAGAAAAACAGCACATCTTAAAGTTAAGAGATTCTTCTTTAGAAAATTTTAATAACTTTTTTGTTTCGAAACTCTAATTTTTAATCAAATTAAATCAATTTGGATTATTTTAAATTAGATATTTTTGGGGAATAACACGTTGCTAATATTCTACTACTAACTTTTTACATAATGCTTTTTAGAGATAAGAATGTTGGGTTTACGAAGATCAAAGTAAGTAAAATTAAAGTGATTCTCTTTTTTTTCCCAAAACGAATAATAAATCATGAAAAGTAGTGCTAATTCTTTTGAGATTTATTGGATTTTCATTTTATAAATTAAAGTGGAAAAGTTAATATTTTCCAAACTCATATCATCGTAATTCATTTGTTAGTTATCTAATAACACAACTTTGTGTTTGTTGGGTTAAAAAATATGGTGAAATATTATTCGTTTTAAATTAAGTTACTTGAGTTTTTTTAAAGGACTCATACTAGGAAAAACTATATAACTAGACATACTTCACTAATATATATTATTATTATTATTATTATTATCTATACTTTCAAAATATTACGTATTTTATCACTAATTAAGATTTTTTTGTCGTATATTGAGGAAGATACACTTAGATCGATAAATATTTTTGCTGCCAGATACACTAAAATAGGAGGAGAGGCGAGCAAGATGAGGAGAAAGGCGAGTGATATTCGTTATGTATCCCACATGTATGAATCCCACTTAGATACATGTATATGTATGTATCTAATGTGATTCACATGTATCTGGGATACCAGATCATAGGAAAGTGGCGAGCGAGATGGTAGAGAGGCGAGGGAGGCGAGCGAGCGAGATTTGGTATGTATCTCATGTACATGTGAATCCACTTGGATATAATGTATCTAGAACACATTACACCTAATTTTGACTACATGTATCTCGATCGAGATACACATATCTAGACATAACTGGACAAACCAAAATCTAATAACATACGTAATATTGCAAACTTGAGTGTATCTAGTAAAATTTATGTAAGTTTCCCCATTTTAATAGTTTCACAAATATTAATAATTCTATGACATATACATAACTCGATCGATTGCTTTGTTTATTCTTAATTTGAAAAAGTTTTCCTTAATCCCTAAGCCAGATGCCAAAAGAAAATGATTACGACTACTACATTTTAGAATCTTACAAAAAAACATAATTATAGTCTCTTGGCTTTTAAATTTATGCTCCCTTATATAAGCAAATAAAGCAAATCAAAAAAAAAAAGAGGGAAAAAAAAAAGGCAAAGGTGAAAATAACAATACTTTTACTTTTGATCTGTAAAAAAAAAACAAAATTTCATAAGGAAAGTAATTGAACAAAATTCGTATTTCAATGTAAAGAAGAAAATATTATTTTACCCTTTTTCTTTTATTCTCCAAAGTTTAGAAAAGGTGAAAAATATATGAGAAAAAATGTCGGTGACATAATAAAATTAAATTTATCTTTTTTGCTTTTTTCATGAATTTTTACTATCCTCAGATGCCAATGATTATCACAAAGACAAAGAGCATCTCACACAGCTCAACATAATAAGAAGAAAAAATAATAAAAAATAGAAAGAATCTTAAATAAACAGCTTTAGAAGTGTTTGAATTTAGAGACAGCAAGCTAACATTTTCACTTATAATTTTTGGAATTCGAGTCATGAATATGGAGAAAATACTAGTTAGAAGGATTTTCCGAGTCACATGCAATATGAATCTAGAGAATAAAATTCACAAACGCCATCTTTAGCTTTTGTAACTAGAAAATAATCATTGACACAAAGTTTGATCAATAGAATTTGAAATTCCATGACAATGATATTTTTCAAATAAAGGCCCTAATCGAAAAGTGATCAATAGGCGTCATTCCAGATATTGAAATTTCAAACTTCATGATAGTGACTATTTTTCAAATAAACGAGTTGAAAAATGGCAAGTGGTAGTATTTCTACTGATCAATCTGTATTAGTTGGGTCAGTATATTGCAATTCCTAGAATTTGAAACTTATGATAATGATTATTATTTAATCACTACTAGAAAACATAGAATCAGAAACAAAATTTATTTATAATCCCCAATGAATTCATTACTAAATAATTCCTAGCTAACTAGATTTTCTTATAATTTGTCGTCAACCCATCGCTCAATAAAATTAGCATGAGATTTTTGTTATTTAGCTGTAATGTTTGTAAATTTTCCCCAAATATCATAGGCTTATCAAATTTAAAAAAAACTATGGTCACTCTTATTATTGAAATTTAATTGGTACAATATTAAAAGGTGAAACATGATATAGACTTTGAAATGATACAATAAAAGGTGAAACATGATAGACTTCACTATGATAATGTCATAATGCCATTCTTGGAATACATCATCAAACACTAGCTAATTGTTCCCCAAAGTAAATATATAGGAGTATGGTTCAATTCTCATTATTATTATTGTCTTTGTAAAAAGATACTACCTAGTTAGAAGCATAACATTTTTATTAGTTTTTTTTTTTTGTGAATTGTGATATGCTTGAATCATTGGCAAGAACAGTAATGGAGAGGGTCCACTTCCATAAGCTCACTAAACATTTCTAGATAATAAAAAAAAAAGGAGATGATGATACAATATTGTTTGTATCTTTCAAATCATTCAATAATAATGATATCCACCATATTGTGGTGATATATCTAGTCTTTTTTTTCTTCTTTAATTCATATGTACATGCACTTAGGAGATGGATGACATATGGTTTTTACGGTCCAGTTTAACTCAATATTTTTAATAGGTGTTTTAATAAATACTAAAATTTTAATTTGTAATTTTCAAAAGTGCTATGAATTCAATGATAAGAACATCAAACTCAAATCCATTGTAAGTTGAGATCGGTTATATTAATTAGTGACGAAGCTAGAATTTTAAATTTGTAATTTTAGATTTAAAAAAAAGAAAGTTATTGAATTCTCGACAAATTATTTATACATATCAAGTTAACTTTTTATTACAAATGCAGGGCCTGCATATGCCAAAACTAATGAGTGTAGCTGAACCTATAATCGGAATGTTAACTCCATCCCTGATATAAATCCTCATTTATCATATTATTTCGTTCAAATTCATCTCAGATCAATATTATACGAAATAAAAAAATGCTAGTATTTTAAATATTTTTTAGTGACATATAAATCTTTCATGTTGCCATGGTATAAAAAGAAACTTGGATCAAAAGAAGAAAAGTAGCACTAAGGAATTGTATTGGAAGTTCTACTTACAAAACTTTAGTACATAAAAAAAGAGAGATATCACAACTCTTTGACCTACTATTTGAACATTAGAAGAAAACAAAAAAACAAAGAAATTAAGTAAATCATCTCATCAACATAATAATAAATCCTATACTACCATAGTTCTTGAATTTTGGAAAAAAATACATCTATCAACACTTTGAAGAAGTCCAATAGCATCATCACTTGATAAATCTTGATCATCAATAGAGAGATTCAAATCCAAAGAAACACAACTAGAACTTGTGCTAATTTTTTCTTCAATTTTTTGCTTCACATTAGGTGAACAACCTCTTGATGACTTAGAACCAAAATTGTCACAACTCAAAATAATAATAGCATCATCAAGACTAACTTCTTCACCACTTGAAGAATTAGTAATTGTTCCTCTTTCAATAGCCTTCTTGATTCCCCTTAGTGAACAATAATCAATTTCCTCCAAATCATCCAAGTAAAACACACAATGTGAATTACAAGCAACCCCTTGACCAAATTTATCAATGTAACTCCAACTTTGTTCATCTCTTGATCTTTTGTTACTAAAATTAGAACAAAAATTGCTTAGTCCAATCGATACGAAATTCGAGTATGATCCAAACACAACATTGGCTAATTCTCTAGCAATTTTCTCCTTGGCATGAACATCAGGGCCTTGAAAAAATAACCAAGTTTCTTGTTTTGCTTCATTGGTTAAATTTTTTTCTTTTCTTCTTATCATTTTGGACCTACATTGCAATATTGTTGCAACAATTTCTTGTATAACACTTCCTTTTTGCCATGGGACAATTTCTTCTAATGCATTGGACAAAATGTTCAAGTTTTCAGAATTGAATTCTTTAAACTTTGGAACATTGTACTCCATCTCCATGATCACATCACTTGAATTAGAAGCAGAATTAGGTGTACTAGAATTTGTCTCACATGTTTTTCTATTGGCCCAAAATGGCAAATTGCATGTTGTGTTCCCCTTCTTGTGTAGATCTTTGACTGATGCATAGTCCTGAATTGGGAAAAGAAAAGTTAGTTTTCTTGAAAAAAGAGAAAGGAGAAACAAGAAAGATTTGCTTTAATATGTTGTTCACACTCTCCTAAATTGTTGTCACATTTGTATACACGGATCGTTTAAAAATGCACTACTTTTAAAGGATTTGATACACTTACATCGTCATTTTTGAAGAGTCTAAACAATATATGTTAAAAGCTAATAAAAAGATTGGAGAATTAACCTAAATAAGCATCCACCTAACTGATTAAACTAAAATAGCCGGCAGATGTATAATATATGTATAACTCATATATAATATGTGTATGACCATGTATAAAGAGGGTATAATCTATAATTAAACAGTAAAACTCCCTCTATTTAAAAAAAATGTTTCTTTTTCTTTTTTGACAATTCCTTAATCTAAATATTCCACACGACATGTTTAAGACCATAAATTAAAGGATATTTTGGTATTTTATATATCTTTAGTTTAAAATCACAAAATTCAGAAGTGTTCTTTACTTTCTTAAACTCCGTGTCAAGTTAAAACCAGATAAACAAATTGAAACTAAAACGGAGTGAGTAAAAGATTGGAAAATAACCTGATCATGATGATGATGGTTAGAAGTAGTATTGTACTTTTTGTGCCTCTCATCTTTAAGCCATGAAGGTAGATTTGACAATGTAGAGTCACTATTACAACAGCTAGTCAATTGCAGCTTCTCCTCTCTACATGAGAATTCACCTTCAAATGTCTTACTTCTAACTTCAATTTGTGTATCACTGTTAGACAATTCACAAATAAAAAATGAATTATATGAGTTGATACAAACATTGCTTAAAACATGCAAAAAAAAAAAAAAAACTAGCTTTAGATTGATACTTTATATTATATAAATAAATGTAATGAACTAAAGAGAGTATTGCTTTTTTTCTTTCTTTTTCTCTGTTTTACCACAAAACATTGAGTTGCTCACTTTATCAAAAGAATTCCAAGAAACTAACTTCCATCAGTCTTTCAATCTATGTTGTCTGAACTCTTCAAAATATCATCAGGTTCGTATGAAGTCCTCCAAAAAGTAGTAAATAGTTTTTGAAAAATCTGACATGAATTCATGACATTTTGAAGAATCTGAACAATATAGATTGAATGCAAGGCATATATACATATAGAACATCAAAGACCATTTGGAAAAAACAATACTTAACAATATTTCAAGTGAAATAATGATTTTCATTCACAAAACATAAATTCAAACTTTATACCCTAACACAACTTTAATTTTGAAATACCTTCTTTTTTTTTCAACTTCAACCAAAATATTATCCAAACACGTAGTACAATTTTTGTTTTCCAATATGCATGATATCAAAATCATGTCTGATAAGATTATCCTTCCAATAAGGTAACTCGAACAGTATTAAATTAAATTATTTACCTGTCAGGATTGAGACTGAGGCCCAAACTTCCACCAGGAACAGTAACAGGATGCAAACCCCAAATAGATTCCAATGAATTGTTACCACTTTTGCATCTCATATAACTTTGAAATGTTGCAATTCCCACAAGCCAAAATTTCTCATTTTCACTAAAACTATAAACCAATCTTCCAATTTCCATAATCATGTGTTCCACTGAACAATAATAGCTAATAATTCTTTTTTCTCCATAATTAGCTCTATAATCAGCCACCCATTTAAGATCACCTAAGTACAAAACAACTCCTTTTTTCACTAAACTCTTAATTAGACAAGTCAACTCTCCTAATCTTTGGTCAACTTCTTCTCTTTGAATATTACCAAAACTCAAAAGTTGTAAACTTATAAACTTAATTTCCTTCAAATCATCATGCACATCTTTAATCTCAACTTTATTCATCACCCCCTTAATCACACCTTCTAAATTATCAATACTTTCACTAACCAAAACAATATTTTTCCTATTTTTATTCATTAAACTTTCCACTACACTCATCACATCCTCATCTTTAACACAAATAGGACTATTGGGATTAACTTTTTTGTTATGGTTAGTTATTTCTTTAGGGTTTTGAGAACAAAGTTCTAAAGAAACAACTTGTTCAACATTTGTTTTAACTTGAGTACTATCAAAACCAGCTTCCCTCATGACTCTACTAACACTTGGATCATCTAATATAGATATGATGAGTTGTTCAAGCTCTATCTTCACAGCTAGAAGTGGTTGTTGCTGATTTTCAAGTGAGCCCCGCCTTTGATGAGCTTGGGCTCGCTTGAAAGCAGCAACAAGCGCGTTAGAAATAGAAGGATATTGAGAATGATGATGATGTTGATGTTGATGGCCTAATAACATGGGACTAGAAGAGGATGCTGGGAGACGATTGAGTGCTACGTTGAAGCAAAGCTCTAGGGCTTTACATTGGAGAGGATGAGAATGAGATTGAAGACAAGCTGTTTTGAATATACCATTTGATGATGAAAGCATGGTGTTTGCTACATGAAGAGGTGTTACTTGTGCATGGCCGCGACGTTTTGCTAGTGTAACAGCTTGTTTAACAACATTTGCTGCTTCTGTTGTTAGAGCTTGTTGTATTGTGCAACCTCCTGTTCTCATGTTTTTGTATGATGATGAGTTAGTCACTTTGAAAGAAGGATGAAAGACCTAGCTAGGACAAAATAAAATTGGTTTCATGTATACTAAGAGAAAATTTGTGTTGTGTTTGAGTAGAATATAATTGATCAAGAAAGAGATTCAAGAACTCAAGAAAACCCTAATAAGAAGCCTTTGGGAAGTTTATGCTAAAAGATGAAATCTATTTTAGGATTGTATAAAGAGAGAGATAAAGAGAGAGAAGAAGAAGAAGATAGTGGAATTAATATAAAGGGGGTGGGGGTTTTCTTATATGATGTGAATTTACGTTACGGTGTTTGACTGAACATGACTTTTTTTTAAAAACAAAGATATTTAAAAAGGATGGATGTAGATTAAAGCAGTTGTGTAGCTATAAATCATTATATTGAGAAATTAGATGAGGATTAAATTATTTCTAAATAAAGAAGTATGACATTCTTTTTCAGATAGACTAGAAAAAGTGACACATAAATTCGACAGAAAAATAATTATTTTTTTTCATTTTCTTTTAAAGTGGGAGTATTTTTGGGGTGGGGGTGGGGTGTTCTTTTCTTGTAAGTGAGGCAAAAATTTTGGGGTTGAAAGGAAAATATGTAGTGGAAAGTGGAATGCATGTGGTGACAAGGAGGAGGAATTATATTGTACAAATATTAAAGGCAATTCAGCTTTACCTCTGATTTTTATTTAGTAGAATATATGTATAGCAACAAATTAAATCTACTTTTAGGACTATATGGAATGTGGAAGTGGAACTCTCCCTTCATGCAATTATTATATATTAATCTTTTACCTATTTATAATACATAAATTAAAGCTGATAATATATAGTACTATACTTATTGGATATATATATATATATAAACACATCTATTTTACTCATATGGAGCAACAAAAGCTTAAGCTTAGTCTCTCAACGTACCTCAATAAACATCTGCATCGAGTACTTATACTAAATTAAAGTAATTTACGGTAAGAAAATGATTTGATAGGGTGGATATATATAACATGTATTGTAAATATTAGATGTGGATAAATTTTTACGATATTTTTTTTACATGTATCTAGAGAAAAAGGTGTAAGAGGACTAAAATTGAAACTAGCTTAGACTAGACATAACTTTAACTTAAAAAGACGGAAATTCCTCCAAACCTCTCCCTTCTAAAAAGCAAAAAAGAATATAACAATTTCAAAAAAGAAAAATGCTTTACAAAATATATATCTATATGTTAACTTTTTGAAAAAATATTAATTTCTATGTGTCACACTGTTCCATTTAATTTTTATATATATTATCATATAATATTTATAACCTATTTTAATTTATTTTTAAAAAAAACTTTCTTCAACGGCATACATACCAAGTAAAAGCTGAATTGGTAGATATTTAGGTCTATATTATATTTATTTATTTTTAATTAATGTATTAGCTATAGATATTTTTTGGGAACGAATTGTAAGTGTGTCATGCATAAATAAATTATTAATTAGACATGTGTCCATGTAATAAGTAGCCAAATTACTATATTAATTGAAGCCTTTTTATTCCTCATCTTGAGTTTAACTTATATAAAATTTAAATTCTGAATCTATCTATTCAAATATTAAATATTGTTTGTTAAGGACCACTAATCCGAGTTTTGCATTTGTGCAGGAAAGTCCCGTATTAGGGATAGAACGCTCCTAACAAAAATAACTCCATATTCAAGATGACTCAAACTCGAAACTTCTAATTAGTGATAAATGAATAATTATTTTAAACCGTATATGTACCAAACTTAGATATAATTAGTCCAATAATGGATAAGGTGTGTTTAAAAGATGTGGTTGAGGGATAAAAACGTACTCATCAATTTTGATTCGAGATAAGGATACGAACACTTTACTTCTGAACTAGCAGAATTTTTCAACGTGAATTTAAATTAGTTGAATTGTAAATTGAGTGCATCGGGTGAAACAAAAAAAATAAGTAAGATTGTAGAGGTGATTTTCACTTTTAACTTGGACCATGCCATAATATAAGTTAGTGGTTTTATTTTTTCAGCGTGAGATATATCATATAAAGTAGAGCTATATTCCACTTCGAATCCAACGCATATACCTTTGCTAAAACCAATAGATATCAATAAATTAAATTAATAAACTATAGGATAAAAATGTATAATACTATATAATATGTATTTCTTTTACACAATTAACGAGAGATCCTCCCATAAATCCCTAAATCAACTTATCATTTCTGGTAAAATGCTTTTAGTAATCTCCAACCCTAAAGTACTAAAAATACTGAATATATAGTTGCTTATTCAACCGCTTAAATTAAAATACTATATATATATATATTAGTGTGTATAGTTCATATATAATAGGTGTATAATTATGTATATCTATTAGGACTAGTAACTAGTGATTTTTTTAAAATTATTTGTGTGAAGATCCTTGTTTTCTTTAGTCGGAACGCAAGGATAGCCGATTGCAACACCACAATTTAAGTCATATCGATATTGTGTACAAATTTGTAAGTTTATCCATTTCGGGATACTTTTAAAAGCCTAGCTTCAAAAAAGTATTTGGATAAATTTCTAGTATACATGTGACTTGAAGTAAATTATTTTTGTCAAAACTTCAAGCGCATATGATTGAACTTCAATCATTTTTGCTTAAACTTCATGAGTCATATAGGACTGAATTCAGTTATTGTTTGAAATTCAGTCATTTTTACATGATGAACATCAGATAGGAATGTCTGAACTTCAATTGTGTGATGTAATTTTAGACACTACATAAATAACATTATTCAGACATACATAAAGAATAAAAAGAAAATGAGTACAACTTAAATAGCGATATCCAAATAGGGTATCTAGAAATTTTATTGAATAATGTTAAATGGCTAGAAATTTTTAAAAACTATAATATATTTTTTAATTTAAAATAAATTGATCTTTTTTCAATTTTTTAGTTAAAAGGTATTAAAATTAAATGGGTAAAAATGTTTTAAAAGGTAAAATATCATTCTGGCCAAAAGGATTTTTCTAATGTTATTTACCTTTATTTTTTGTTTGAAAAATATAAACTCTCCCCAAGAAAAAAGGATTTGTTCTAGTTCTCTTTTTCCTTTTTTGTGGGCTTTTTGCTACATACCTTTTGAGAGTGACTTGTGGGATCTCAAGAAAACCCAAAGAATGTTGTGTATATATTGGGGTCCCTAGAAGAATGTTAGCATTTCAAATGACTTGACATAAATTGACCTTTTTTCATCAATATGGAATGTCTCCAAATTCGAACCACATACACTTGTTCCTCTTTGTTTGAGCCATCTTTACAAATGAGAGAATATTACTCCTCCTTTCCATTTATGTGTTTTAAATTTGTCTTTAAAAGACAATTACTATCTCATACATGATTAAAATCACAAAATTTTAAAGAATACTTGAATACTTTAAATATATCTTCGTAAGATTAAAAAATATTCTTTACTTTTGATGTATATCTATCATATCGTAATTGCATGTACCAGATAATTCAATATCGTTGCATTCGATATTTTAATTTTGTTTCAAACAATGTGATACAAAAAAAAAAAACCGAGAAAGAGACTTTCATTTCTAGTCTCCAACTCTTCTCTTTAACTCATCATAGTTTAGATCACCACAATCAACACTTACATATTTCTTCTATTTCAAAGTGTATCATGTAAAACCTACTCCCTTTGTTTCATTTTATTTAGTCTTTATATTTTTTTTTAAAAAGATGTTTCATTTTACTTATTCATTTTAGCAAATTAAGAAAGTTTTGTTACTTTTTTTCCATACTATCTTTATTATTAAATAATTATTGTATAAAAGTAACAATAGTAGTAGTCAAATTTAGAGTTTCAAAGCATCATTAATGAAATTAGTTTCGTACAATACACATTTAATTAAAATTTTCTTAAAAGATATGTCAGATCAACAGAGGTCAAGTAATATAATACGGAAGACTACTCCAAAAAAGAGAAAAAAGTATTAAAGCAAAAAAGCCTGACAAACTTCATGACTTCTTATTTCATGCAAGTATATACTAGTATGCATGAAAGCCATTTTTTTCTCTTCATTTTTATTTTTTTGGTGAAGAGTACCATTGATGGAAAGTAAAAGTATAATAAAACAGAAACTTTACTAGATAGTGTATAGTAAATTAAATGGTCCAAAAGCTGAAATAAAAATTTATCTTCTTTCAAGAGGATCAACATATAAATTTACCATATTTCATATATAGTCAAAAAAGCTTTATAATCTTCCCCCTCTCTTTGGTGGCCTAAAAAGACATACAAAGGTTGTTTGAATGAAAAAAGTAATAAAGAGATCAGTATAGTAGTACTCCTGCTGGAAGTTAAAAAAAGGAATGTTTGAATGAAAGTAAGTTACTTTTTTTAAAAATTAAATATCACCCATACATAGATGTACTATAAGATATTAAGATTCATCTCTCAATTATATAGATAATAATAAAGTCACCTTAACAACATGTTGGTAGTTTTGTGCTAAAATGAACCCAAATGTACTCTTAATACATATAATGTGATATTATTCGTTTTAATTTAAATTTACGTGTATGATTTTTTTCAAAGTCTCAGATCACTAACATTATTTTTCTTTTCGATTATTATTATGAGACTTTATTCGCAGATGTTCTTTGAGTTGGGCCACTTGGAGATCTGTTTGGCCAAAGATAGTTAGGGACCTTACCTTTCATTTTTCTTTGTTCTTTATTATTCATTCGTTTCTATTTACATGTCACTATTTTAGATTTCACATCCTTTAAGAAATTATATAAGTTTACCATTGATACTTATTTAGTATTCTCTTGAAGTCGAGTTTTCAATAAATGAACATAAATTAATTTATTTTGATTAATTAAATTGATCAATGAACATGAATTAATCATTTAGTTTTCCTATGTTGGTCAAATTCTTACTTTCAAGGCTAATAACTCTCAAGGGT